TAAACCTTGTGAAACACCGTTAGTTATGATAAAACCTAGTTATAAAAAATAAAAAAGAGCTTTAGGAACCCCAGAAGTCGTGCTCCTTATGTGTGAATATGTTGCTGAAATACCTTCCTGAAATTGTGACTTTTACGTTCCAATTTTTAAATTATAATGTTCTGCAGTTTATTTGGTGTGGGTTTGAAAAAGTTCTGATGTTTGAATGAATAACGTCAGTTTTTAACCACAAATCATGAAACACCTGCATCTCAAAGGAACCTTAACTCTCATCTTCATCTGACTGGGAAAAAAAAAATCCACCAGAAAGATCTGAGAGGAACATCTGTAAGAATCAGCTGGCAGAATGAAGAGATGGACGGTGGAGAGAGGGATGGAGAGAGCATTAAGGAGTGTGTGTGTCTGCAGCATTCGGTCTCTGTTTGTGAGAGGCTGAGGAAAGGTGGGGGCACTCCTGGGACCCCTCCAACACTGCAGCAGCTCCTCCGGCCCCCACACAACCAATGGGTCAAACTCACAACCTCCCGCATCAGAACCCCCTCACCAACACCGCCACTCACCCATTGTTGCCATGGTAACACACCTTCAGAGAGACCCCCAGGGAGGTGTGCACTCCTCCTGCCGTCCACTGCTCTCTTTACTGCACTCTCCCTCCATTCATCATCCTTCTCTCCTCCATCCTTCTCATCTGTCCTTCCATCCCATCATCCCTCACTCCTGCTCTCCTCCACCTGTCCATGTCTTCCTCCTCAGCTTCCTGGCTCAGTTTTACAGCCTTTAGAAGACAAAGGACCAAACACATTTACTCTTACTCAGTTTTTAGGGATAGAGAGGGTTGTTAGGAAAAGGGAAGAGTAATAATGGAGGGCAGGCCCCCTTGGGACCCTTGTTGGAACCCCAGCAGCTCATTCAGAGCGATGCTGAAAGAGGCAAGCACCTTAGGGGTCTGTCCCCAACACAGACCAGAAGCTTATTTCTGTTATGCTGCATGTTGCTCTGTGTGTGTGGGGGGTGGGGGGGGGGGGGGGGGGGGGGACCACCTGGTCCCTCTGCTCTGGTCAATTAGCAGAATGGATCATTTTATTCTTCTCTCCATCTGACGCTAAACTACGTCCTTCCACTCCTTCCACTTCCTGTTTTGTTTCAGCCTTGGGTAAAATCTCACATATTTACAGGTGTGCACCTGGTCGTAGTGTGCACCTGTGTGTGTCACTCCCACTAAAAACACAGCAGAGGCTCTGTTGTTGATGACAACAATCAACTGTTAAATTGTTTAGAACAACATAATCAGACCTGCTTCCTTCACCTGACGTCAAGTTGTTTTTATTTTGACGTCAGAAGTAACAATACAAATATCTGAAAAGCAAAAAATAAATTAAAAAAGGGTTATAAGCTCAATCATGCAGGTAGATAACAACAAAAAAGGTTAAATCATGTCATCTGGACCAGTTGATCATCTGAACAGCAACTGATGAAATAGTGATCAGGAGCGAAAATAGTGAACAGTAGCTAAAATACTCTAATATTCGTTGTATAAGTTGCTGTTTTTCATAAATTAGCATGCCTGCAACTTATACACCGAAGCAACATTTTTTTTTTGGGGGGGGGGGTCCCATATTCAAAAACCAATTTTTGGCTGAGATCTGATGATTTCATTCATTCTGACATGAAAAATAGTGAACACTACCATTTTCAGCCACTAGAAGGGCCCTCGACCAATATGGCAAGCCAAGTGTCTCATTAATAGGTAAAAGTGGCTATTAATGAGACACTTGGCTTGCCATACCAGCCACCTTCGTCTCGCTCCAGAACTCCTGGAGCAAACGTCAAATCAACTGCATTTCACCGCCCAGGTGAAATGCAGCTGATTTGACCATTAAAGTGCATTTATTAAAGAAAAGTTCAACTGAGACACACCTTTACTATAATTTTGAGCAAGCAAATAATTGTTTTTAAGTGTTAATCTTGTTAAATTCTTGTTAAAGTCCTCCTGTGCACGCTCCCGTGGCCGCCATTTGGCAGCCAGTCGATTTTTGGCACAACACCGGCCCACATTTCCGAGTTGTCAGCGGTGACGCATAATAGATGCGACCTATATGGCGAAATGACATATTTGTTTTTTTCCACTTTATTAGACATATTTGGACTGATGCAACGTACACGACAGCCAGTACGGTAGTTAGTGGTCAGTGTCTACAGTGTCTGGATCAGTGTATGAGCTTTATCAGAAGTGTTGAACAAACATGATTAAAAATCATCCATTCAAACTTGGATCTTGTTTTAGGTTAAAGCACTGATTATGTGGTCTCTTCTGTAAAAAGTAATATCTATAATTCACAAACTGGAATCTTCATTGAGTTGTTTTTGACAGGTGAGGGTGAAGTGTGGAAGTAAAGGCAGAGAAAGGTTTTCATCACTGCCTTCTGGGAGTTAAAAAGTGGAAAAATGTTGAATTTACTGTTGGTTGATAAAAACCTGAGTCCTAACCTTCACACTCTATCATTCCACCCATACCTTCCTGTGTTCTCTGTCCCAATGAAGAACTCCCAGGGTTCTGTGTGTCTGTGTGTGTCTGCATTCATGTGCTGCTGGATCAAATGCTCTCTGAGACAAAGCGCAGCTGCAGGAAGCCTCTGCGAGTCTGTCATCTCTCTATGGGTCACATACGGACCGGGCTGCACACAGAGACAGCCGTCCCCACACACCCAGTCTGATCAAAACAACGTGTTTGTCACAAAAGAGAAGATCTTTGGAGGCCTCTCTCCATGCCCTTGCTCCGGACAGACCAATTATCTCCCTGCGCCTCGTGTCGCTCTGTGTCTTTCAGCTATCCTTTCACGCTCGCACTAATTGATTGGCCTAAACGAGCTTCTAAGGTTCGACTTTTAAAGCTGATGTAGTCATCAACAACGTGTGTATAAAATAGCCAAACGCACCCCTGCACACAGGAAACTATAAGGAAATGTAGCAATGCACAAAATATGCTTTTTTTTCTTTCATTTAGAAACAAATGGATTCTTGCTGACATACAGTATTTATTAGTTAATACTTGTTTGTGCATTCTTATTAAAACACCACTGTTTGTTCACACCATTTTACAGTAAATCTGGAGTTTCCATAATGGGATTGGAGGGGGTGTCAACATGTGGTCCCAGTAAAACAATCAGGGATTAGTCCAACATTTAACTCTGGGATTTATACCATAAAAGCTAATGGTGTGAACAGAGAAAAGCAGAGAAACAGTGTTTGATGCAGACCTTTGTTTCTTTTAGTTGATTTATTTGTAACGAGGTTAAAATAAGGTTATCAGGAGGTTCTGAAGTTATAACAAGGTTGTAACGAAGTTATGAGGTTGTAACCATGTTGTAATGAGCTTTTACTGACATAGTAATGCTGTGGCCGTGGTATAATGAGGATGTTACACAGTTTTAACGAGCTTTTAATGTGGTCCGTGTTCTCTTCTGCTAGTTTTATGGCTCAGAAAGTGAAAGTTGGAGAAATCTGTAGGAAATAATGTGGAACATTATGAGCTGTCACGTCAACGTTTTTGGAAAACATCATAAAAAGAACAAACTAAATGTATAATTTCATTTAACTCGTTGCTTTAAAAAGCTTTTTTTTTTTTATGTTAAAAGTTTTTGCATTTTGGAGCAACCCATGTTTGATGAAAAGGTTTGAAACCCGTTTGCCAGTTTAAAGTGCAACCGTTTATAAATTGCACCGATTTAGAGTTCAGTGAGTTCGCAGTGAGTTACTGTACTTCATGTGAATTGGTTGCTGGGTGGACCTGTGATCGGAAGATCGCTGGTTCAACTCCCAGTACCGGCAACATCAAAATGTGGGTGGGATTGGTGAAGCACCCACACCTGTCTCCATCCTCATTCGCCCCACTCTGAGCCCTTGAGCAAGGCCCTTAACCCCCACCATCTGCTCCCCCCCGGGCATCCTGGATAGCAGCTCTCTGCTCCACGCAGAGGGCTGTGGCAGCTCGGTGGTCTGTGGTTTTGTCAGGAAGAGCAGCCGATGTAAAATAATTGCCATGTCTTCGTGCGACTCAGTTCGCTGTGGTGACCCCTGAAGAAGGAGCAGCTGAAAGAAGAAGAAGAGAAAATAAAACTTGTATCAGGTGCAGTGAGTCTCTTGCAGTGATTGAAGTGCAGTGAGTTAGTTGTAGAGTCAGACACGAGAATAGACTCAGGCCATCATTACATGTGAAGGTAACGTATGTTTGACCGTGTTATCTAATCTGGCAGTGGAGAGTGGGAGGAAACAGTTTTACTGCTACTGCGGGCAGGAGCCCCCACCTCAATAAACACCCCCTCAAACACAGAAATCAATGACGTGTCAGCTTTTGCTTCTTGCAGGATCACCTCCTGCTTCTTCTTAAAACAATATTTGGTTAAATCCAAGGTTAATCTGATGTTTGAGACAAATTAAATAAAAGAAGCTACTGTCCTCTCATTCTTTTCTTCTGCATGTGTCCTTCCATGGGACAGAGTCCATCTGCCTCCGTCTCCCAGGAAATAATAAGAACGAAGCTCTGTTGCTTTTACAACTTTCTGTGGGTCTGAGGTGTCCATGGTCCATCTATGCCAGATGTATGAACCACCTCATCTGGCTCCTCTGGATGTTGAGGAGCAGTAAACATTTACACATTTCAGCTTCAAAGTTTACGAGAGCTGAACTCTGGACTTTTCAATTTTATTTAAAAAAATGATCTTTAAGATGAAGGTTTTTGTTATTCTGAAAGTGGTTTATTGATTTTTTTTATTACATCTACAATTTATGAACTTTCTCTAAATACGTTTAATTTATGAATCTTGACCAGGTTACTTTAATTTGAAAAGGACAAAACATAACTACATGTTAAAGCTGGTCATTTAAAACAATGTGAAGGTTGTATCCACATGTGAGTGTGTTGTTTTTCTGTTCATCGTTCAGAAACGTGTCACAGGTTGTGTTGTCTAACCTCCACCTGCATGTCTGTCTCCTGTTTGCAGAGGAGGGCATCAATCACGAGTGCAAGCTGTGTAACCAGATGTTTGACTCACCTGCCAAGCTGCTCTGCCACCTGATCGAGCACAGCTTCGAAGGCATGGGAGGAACCTTCAAGTGTCCCGTCTGCTTCACAGGTGAGACACACACGTCCTCCTTCAAGGACAGTCCATATTCCACCCAATCTGCTGGCATCCTTAGAGCTTCTTCTTCTTTCAGCTGTTCCCTCTTCAGGGGTCTCCACAGCTAGTCCTCCTCCTTCTCACTCTGTCCTCTGTGTCCTTTGTCCTCACTTCAACTACCTCCATGTCCTCTCTAACTGCATCCATTTATCTTCTCTTTGTCTTTTCCCTGGCAGCTGCACCTCTAACATCCTTCTACCAATATACCCACTGTCCCTCCTCTGGACGTGTCCAAACCATCTCAGTCTGGTCTCTCTAACTTCATTGCCCAGTTGTTCAACCTGTGCTGTACCTCTGATGATCTCATTCCTAATCTTATCCATCCTTGTGACTCCTAAGGAGAACCTCAACATCTTCATTTCTGCCACTTCCAGTTCTGTCTCCTGTCCTTTTGTCCATGTCTCTGTGTCCAAACCAAGGAGAACCTCAACATGGCTTCCTTATATAACTTCAATGAGCATTTATGACTTACTTTTTATGATTGTATTGATTGTATTATGTATAAATGGATTGAATTCACTGTCATTGTTTTAAAGTATGACATTTATGAATGTGTATTTTTTATTGTATCGTGCCCTGAGACGACAATTCACAAATAAAATAAATTAAATTGAATTGAATCAGGTAACCATGCCGAAAAATTATAATAAATGCTGGAGTTTTTATGTTTATCTTTAAAGGTCTAATGAACCGTACGTTATGTATGTTTAAGTATTTAAAGCCATTAAAACAATTCTTAGATTGTTTAACTTTTATTGAGGTTACAGATCTCCTTTGCGAGGTCCTCCTGGGCCTGAAGGCAGACTAGCACGCAGGTTTTTGGACTGTGGGAGGAAACCCTCGAGGAGAACATGTACACTCCACACAGAAAGACCCCGGTCCAAACCAGGACTGTTTTGTTAGGCAGCTGTGCTAACCACTAATCCACCGTGCTGCCATAGTCAAACAGTTTTTCTGTTGATTTGGACATTGGACTTAACTGACCCCAACACCCCATAGAGCCTGCAGAGATCCTATAGACCTAGTCCATTTCCTGGTTACCTGACAATTAACATGTCTTAAAAGTGACCTAGAAGGAAACAGGATGAGAAAGAGTCTTTGCAGAGGAAGAGGAGCAGTCCTCAGTTCCTGCTGTAAAACCTGCTGATGGTCTTCTGTCGTTAGTGAACGCATCAGTCGAGGCTTTTGTTTCTCTTCGTTCTGTTAGTGGAGCACAGAAACCACAGCGCAGACAGAAAGCATGAAAGAGGAATCGTTTCGAGTTTCAAATGTAAAACATTCAGAGCTAGCTTGTAAAACAGTGTCTTGAGTTTTTTCACGCTAATCCTGTGAGGTGGGAGGAAGATTTTATCAGGGTGTGTAAAACTACGTACCTGCTCCAGAAACAGGAAGTACCATCAAACGTGTGGAATCTGCCACAAAATGTCAAACAACCAAAATAGGAGTTCTTTATTCCATAGAAAAGATGTCAATATTGCTGCATCGCAACCCCCTCCCCGCAACTTCAGTGCTCCTTTTGGATGTATTTTCATTGTTTGGATGTTCTCAGGTTTGATCCAAAGTTAAGACGTGTTCTCAGATCACCGACATCCGAGCCCACGTTGATTCAGAACCTGAGTGTAACTGTGAGTTCAGCCCCGTCGGGCTCTGAAAGCTTTGCCTGCAGCACCCCCTAACCTTTTCCTCGTCGTCCTTCTCCCAGTGTTTGTGCAGGCCAACAAGCTGCAGCAGCACATTTTTGCCGTGCACAGCCAGGAAGACAAGATCTACGACTGCTCTCAGTGTCCGCAGAAGTTCTTTTTTCAGACGGAGCTTCAGGTAGGACACCGTCTTTTACGTTGACTCCGTTTTCTCCTTCTCCTGTTCTGGGCAAACGAGGAAAAACATGGTGCAAATTTAAAACCTGATCTAAATGACACCCCCTCGGTAATTGTTCAGCCTTTTCCTCTGTTCCTTCTTTCCTCTCTGTCCATCTCTCTTCACGGGGTCTTGGCAGGGTTCTGGCACGTCATTATGATTCAGACCCATCAGTGGGTATAAGTCACGCAGAGTGGGTCCTGAGCCAGCTGTGGTCATCCTTCTGAGAACAGAAACCTTCATTTTTAACTAAAGTCATCAGCTAAAACACAACCAGATCATATAAAATATAACCAGCTCAGCTAAAAGGCCCCAAATCAGCTAAAATAAACATTGCCTGGCTAAAAGACTACTAAGTTGGCTAAAATACACCTAGCTTAGCTAAAATCTTAAAAAGATCTCCTAAACCACTACCAGCTCTTCAAATAAACACATAGCTTACCTAAAGTCATACCCAGATCAGCTAAAACACACCTTACTTAGCTGAAGTCATACCCATCTGTTTTCTAAAATACAATTTTCATTGTTTTTGTTTCGCAACCCAGATAACATGATGAACTGCTCATACTAGCATGTCAGTACTCGTAGTTTGGTACCTGAGGGTGTGTTGGGGGTGGGGGGTAGATGCAGAATGGGCTTGTTTGTGTAAACCGTATTTTCACTGTATAAGTCGTGGTTTTTTGCATAATTTGCATGCCCTGCGACTTATACGCTGAAGCGACTTATTTATGGATATTTTTCCTCATATTTATAAACTTACGTTTGGCTGAGATACGACCGTTTTCATTCATTCTGACTGAAAATATTGAACACTACCATTTTCAGCCGCTAGAAGTCGATCGAGCAGTATGGAATGCTGTTGTGTCATGTAATAGGTAAAAGTGGCTATTAATGACACAATCGGCATGCCATAGATGCCACCATTGTCTGCCTGGAGCAACCGTTAAAAATCAGCTTCATTTCGCTGCGCCGCCCCGGCGAAAAGCAGCTGATTTGACCATTGAAGTGCATTTATTAAGTAAAAGTTCAACTGAGACGCATCTTTACTATAAAATCAAGCTAATAAATATTGTTTTTAAATGCCAATCGATTTTTGGCACAACACCGGCCCACATTTCCGAGTTGTCATCGGTGACGCGTAACAAACGCGACGCGTCAGCGGTGACGCAAAATAGATGCAGCATATTATGGATTTTTCTATTTTATTAGACAAATATGGACTGATGCGACTTATAGGGCGGTGCAACGTTTACGGCCGAAAATACGGTATTCGTGTGAGTTGGTGCTGCCTGGTCAGATAGAGAAGGCTCCGACTCCTACCAGGGATGATATGAAGTCCAGCTCACCGACACCCGAAGGTCTCTGCAGCCTGGACACACCACTGCAACTTCTGAGATCCTTCAGCCCCTCTTCCCATCTGTGAAGGCTTTTCTGTGTAAAGTTCTGCTCCCCCACCCTCTCCATCACTCACTCTCCCATCTCTGCATGTCTCTGAACGTGGTCCTGCCACACTTTTCTCCTTCTCTTCCCAGCTTCTTCTGACTCCCCCTTCTGTCCCAGAAGAACCAGCCCCTATGCATATTTTAGCCCCTCTCCTCTTTTCCTCTCTCCTCTGCATCTCCCCAGTGTCCCATAAATAGTGCAGACGTAAGCTAGTAAATAAGAGATGTTTCTCTCTCTCTGTGTGTGTGTAAATAAGAAATGTGGTCCTGATCGCTCAGGTCCTTTTGGATCTCTGCTCTACTCCCAGACTTCACAGAAGATAGTCTTAGTTTTGCTTTTGTTGACACTCTTTTATTTCTTTCTGCTTTTCTTTTGTTTATTTTCTTGTCAGTTACCCTGACAATAGCACAAGTTTTGCACATTTTTTATGTTGGAATCATTAAAGATGCTTTCTATCAACAAAACCCCATGTTTGCATTCATGAAACATTAGAGAAACATGTAATAAGTAAGATTTTAAGATGCTCTTATTGTAAATAATATCAGTACTGCAGCAGCAGTACCCCTTGTTAAATCACTTCCCGGACTCATCGTCTTTATGTTCAGGATCTGAGACAGTCACTTCTGCAGGTTCTGCTCTAACGTTTCTATGAATCACCACCTCGTTCTTAAATTTCCACACAAACCCTCTACCAATGTATTGGAGTTAAACGTACACACACAAAAAGAAAAGGAACAGTCCTTAGATTCTATCCAGTCCTGCAGTGGTGTCATCGGTCAGTGGAAGGAATACTTCTCGGACCTTTGTAACCCACTCATTTTTAGTGCTTGTGGCGATTTTTTTCAATCTTATATTTTCACCTTGTCCACCGTTTTGGGACTAAGTGTGAAACCTCGTGAGATTTTGTGGGATTTGAGTTTTATAGACAAAACATGGCGGTTCCCATCGTTTGAGAGAGCATGTGTATGACTGGGAAAGTTCAGAGCTGCTGCAGGTGGACATTTAACTATTTTAAAGCATTTATTTATTTACTGTCATTTATGGTACTTACTGGTATACGTTTCAGCTTTTAGATGTCTCTATTCTGTGAGAAACTGCTGTATTTTGTGCTTAAAGACTGGAAACAAAGGAACTGGCCAGGCTTTCTATGATGGCAACTGTTTTGTGCAGTAGGAGGCGCTGTAGCCTGCTCACCCCACACATACAAGAATCTTTACATATACTAAAGGCCCCTCCCTAAAGACTTACTGTATTTAGTCTTTAATGACTTGTTGAACAGTTTAACCCCTTGAACTTATCTGGACTACTGTCCTAGTTTTGGTCTTTCTTAATACCAGCATTTGGATTTAGTTTGGATAATTTAGGAGATCCGTTCATCTATCTATTGAAAGATTTTGTGTTTATTGACATAATGAACCAGTTCATCCATAGGAGACAGTTTTTTGTATATATTGTAAATGACTTCTCAACTTTAATACAAATCACCATATGCAGAGTTTTACTGTTTCCTAGTAAACAAAACCATAATTCTTCATTAGCCAAACCTTAGAATCTTCTGATAACTTACCTACTACTACTGCTGAGTGATCACCACTTTACTTTACCTTATTATTAGCATCTGCATGATATATGCTACACCTTCTCAATCCCACCAACAGGAGGAAACTGAGTCGGGGGACCTTGGAGTTGGTCTGTCTCTAACCATGGCTGAGGTCGCCGAGGTGCTTAAAAAGCTCCATGGCAGTGGAAGAGCTCCCTGATTTCCTAAAGGCTCTGGATGTTGCTGGGCTGTCTTGGTTGACACGCCTTTGCAACATCGTATTGACATCGGGGGCAGTGTCACTGGATTGGCAGATTGGCAGTGGTTCCCCACTTCAAAAAGGGGTGTGCTTCAATTATAGGAGCATCACTCTCCTTAACCTCCCTGATAAGGTCTATTCATGGGTAGTGGAGAAGTCAGTCTGATTGTTCGTTGAACCTCAGATCCAGGAAGAACAATGCTGGTTCTGTCCTGGCTGTGGAACAATGAACCAGCTCTTTATCCTCTCTAGAGTCCTTGAGGGGTTATGGGAGTTTGCCCATCTAGTGTACATGTGTGTAGTGGACTTGGAGAAGGCATTTGACTGTGGTTCTTGAGATACACTGTGGGGTTGCTCCATGACTATGGGATTGAGGGTTCATTGTTACACGGCTTTCAGTCCTGATACAAGCGGTTCAAGAATTTGGTTCCTGTTGCTGGCATAATTCAGACCCTATCAGGGTTGGAGTTGGACTCTGTCAGGGCTGCTCTTTGTCACCGATTCTGTTCTTTTAAGGACAGAATTTGTTTGTGCATCCAGGGAATGGAGATAGTTCGGTTTGGTGGCCTCAGGATTCCATCTCTGCTATCTGCAGATGATGTGATCCTGTTGGAGTCATCGATATTCAGCTCTGGTTCAAGGCCAAGTGTGACAAGGCTGGGATGAGAATCAGCACCTCCGAATCTGAGGTCTTGGTTCTCAGTCAGAAAAGGGTAGATTGTTCTCTTCTGGTCAACGGTGAGGTTCTGCCTCAAGTGGAGGAGTTCAAGTACCTTGGGATCTTTGGATAGATGGATGGATGGATGGATGGATGGATGGATGGATGGATGGATGGATGGATGGATGGATGGATGGATGGTTGGATGATAGCTGGATGGCTGGACGGATGGATGG